AATTCCCTCTCCACGCTCTGTCCCCAAGGCTGGCAAAGAGGAACTGTCCCTTCTCTTCCTAGAGCCAGTTTCAGCCTCCATGAATATTCTGGAATGTTCTGGAAAGTGCCAAGAACATTCTCAAACTTTCACTGATAGTAACAGGAGTCGGGAAGAGGACGCAACATGGCAAGGATTAAGGAAACCAGCAAAAAACATGTTTGATATTGAAACCAGCTTTGTCTCCCAGCGAAAGCAAAACCTGCAGAAACAAAAAGCATTATAATTAGTCGTAACAACAAAATAATGACAGATAGTGAGGTTAGTTAAATAAAATAATGATAAAATGACGAAGTATTCACAATACCTGTAAATACGGTAAAAGAATAAATCGGTTTTTGTATTTCATCAGAGTTAACACATAATTGGTTTTACATAAATGTCATATATCATCAATAAAGAAAAATCGGCCGGGCGCGGTGGCTCACACCTGTAATCCCAGCACTCTGGGAGGCCGAGGCAGGCGGATCGCTCCAGGTCAGGAGTTCGAAACCAGCCTGAGCAAGAGCGAGACCCCGTCTCTACTATAAATAGAAAGAAATTAATTGGCAAACTAATATATATAGAAAAAATTAGCCGGGCATGGTGGTGCATGCCTGTAGTCCCAGCTACTCGGGAGGCTGAGGCAGGAGGATTGCTTGAGCCCAGGAGTTTGAGGTTGCTGTGAGCTAGGCTGACGCCACGGCACTCACTCTAGCCTGGGCAACAAAGCAAGACTCTGTCTCAAAAAAAAAATTAAAAAAGAAAGAAAGAAAAATGATTCAGCTAAAACACAACACAAGACTAAGACACTGTTGATTGTGAAGAGCTTCCTCGCTCCAGTTGAAAAAGTCAAGAAGACAAGAGGAGTCTTAGAACTGACAAAATTTAGCAGTGCTTTTTAGAGACAGAATCCTGGCCTTGTAAAGTCTACTTTATGTCAATGATTTTAAAAAGGATTTTGTTGTTTTTCAGGATCCTTAAGAAAAGTGTGTCTAAATCCACAAGCCAGAAATCTTACTGGCTGAACCTCCAAAGATATTCCCTCTGAAAATAATAATAATAACAAATCCACCCTTCATTTTTCATGACATCTCGCTAAACATTATTATACTTGCTTGATCCTGTGAATCAGAGCAGGAGGTCATCCAGCCTCTCCTGGTTGCTCTGGGATGTTGAAAAGACTGTGACTATGATCTGGGGGAGAACTTGCTGTCAGTCTATCGCTGCAGCGAAACTGAACGCCACAGTTGCTCTCCGCACTGATACTTGTGTTGCAGACTTGCGCCGATGACTGTTGTCATTAACATAGAGAACTGCACACATCATTCTTACTTAAAAGAAAAATATTATGCATACAGCCCTGTTAGGTATCAAATATAATGGGTTAAAATAATCTGAAATTTAGGATGAGATCCCGAAGCTAGAGTGCAATTGTTTTCGAAGCATGGGCTCTGCAGATAATGAGGAAGGTGTCCAGAGCCGGTTATCAGTGCCACGCCCCAGGTATGGTTCCCTCTCTGTCCCATGTCATGAGTGACAAGGACGGCGTCAGGAACGAGACCTGCTCCACGCTGATAGCACATAATGTGCAGTATCTCATGGAACAGAATGTCAACATTCATCTGATTGCTCAGGGATGTGTATTGAAGCACAAAATCTCTAAATGCTAGTTAGAAGTTCGGGGCACAACCATTCAGGAACCATAATCTATTATACATTTGCCAAAGCCACAAATTTAACTTTATGACTCTTGGTTTAGAGTGTGCCCGGGCTTGCAGAAGCCCTGGGAAGCTCTGTGTTGGCAAACCAGCTCCTGTTCCCTGAGACGTGGCAGAATATGCCATAGCTGTGACTCGATCTTTCGCTCATTTGAAATTCGTTGAGATGGGCCGGGCACAGAGGCTCAAGTCTGTAATCCCAGCACTTTGGGAGGCCGTGCTGGGAGGATCATTTCAGCCCAGGGGTTAGAGACCAGCCTGAGCAACATAGTGAGACCCCATCTCTATAAAAAATGTTTTTAAAAAATTATCTGGGTGTGGCAGCGTGCCTGTAGTCCCAGGTACTCAGGAGGGCGAGGCGGGAGGATGACTTGAGCCCAGGAGTTTGAGTTCGAGGCTGCAGGTATCATAGCTCTGTGATGCTACCACTGCAACTCCAGCCTAGGTGACAGAGCAAGATGTTGTTTCTAAAAAAAGAAAATTCCTTGAGCATTTCCAATGTTTAAGAAAATGTGTTAAATGCTACAAATGTTGTTGTTAAGAGACAAAGAATTTGACCTCAAAGAGCCCACCCTTTTGTAGGTAAAATGGACAAGTAAGTAACTGTAGTGCAATATAATATATTCATTTATGCTAAAGGGAATATTGAGAGCACAGGGAGCAGCTTCTGAGGCAGATACATGTTTTACCTGTGAAGCCAAGTATCTGGAAATAGAAAAATATCTGGATGACTGGCTGGACTTAGCACTTTTCTTCTTTTTTGGCAAAGTGCAGGCCAATGCAGACCAAATCATTTTGTCTATATTTGTTGAGGCCCAGCTAAGTCTATGCAGTCTATATTTGTAACAGCGATACTCTACAATAAAAATCATATTGGGAAGCGATATTAAGACTAATACAAATAAATGACCCTAAAGCAATACTTGTTTGAATCGCAATTGTATTTAAGCTGTTGAAGCACATTCTTGCACAGGCGTCAGGATCACTTTAATGCCGAAATATGTAAACGGCAATCCATACATGGAGCTGCAGATTTAAAATAACAGTTTTATTTACAATGTATTTCTTATATATTAGGAAAAGTAACCTGGGCTTATAGCAGGTGAACATATGGATTTTATTGTAATGATGAAAGATAAGACTTAGGAAAGCATCAACAAGTTCTAAACCGCTGGTTTGGCTTTATATGTGAATACTTCCTGGCTAAAACATCAGATGACGTAATCCAGTGTCTGAGATGCAAAGGCGTTGGCAGAGCCGCACTCGAGACAGGAATTGCAGAAATGTTGTCATTCGCTAGCTGGGGAACACGCGCAAGGCAGTGAGGATCTTTGAGTCTCACTTTATCTGTGCCTTAAGCGTGCGGAACGAAATAAAGGAATGCAGGTGAAATCCCTGTGGTCTGCCGGTGTAGACAGTAGGCGGTCAGTAGATGCTGGTTTTCCTCCACACAGGAATCACCATGGGCATCCACGCTGACTAAACTTTCCTGGGTGAATGCACTTCATTCTGCCTACAGTCAGGACCAAACAGTGTCGTCTTAGGGGCATTAATTTGGGCATCTTATAATTTACTGAGTACTAGCACATGGTGGTGTCAGTAAATATCTATATTAAAGATGATTGTAGGTAAATTATTTAAAGAATTATTCACTTCTGTTTTTCATACACTCTTGAAAATAAAAACAGGTATCTATTGTTATCTCATTTTACACAGAAGAAGTAAAGATCTGTGAACATTGCTGAAAAGAGAGACGGTCACAAAGAGAATGAGAACCCGGGTCTGGTTGCGCTGGCCAGTTTCGGGCTCTTTTCTTTGAATTCGTTGAAGCCAAATAACACAGATGTAGAAAACCTCGTTCACAGACTGGGAAAGAAGTAGCCAAGCCTAAAAGAGCAATCCATTTATCTAGAAACAGGTGCTATTGTACAAATTTCCATTTTTATTGGTATAAATTAAAATTTTTAAGTTCTTTTTCTTTTCAAAAACAATCACATTTAATATGCTGGCATCCCTGTTAAGTTGGATCTTTGCGGACTCTAGTAACAGTTGTAAGTAAGAGATGGTGTTAGAATATCCTACTGCATCTTCTATCAGAAAAAAAGGGTACAAAATCAATCAAACTACTAACAGCTTCTGAATTATTTGAAAATCCCTCAATATCATTTTATTAATAGTGCATAATTTATTATTCTTGGATATAGACACAGAAATAAAGATGAGTAAGTATAGATATTTCTCCTTTTCTGTCTCTTAAGACCTGTTTTCAAATTTTATTACTGTATATCAGATACTATTTCGCCAGATTTGGTAGACTAGTTTGTTCTCCCAATATGACTACAACTTTTATAAATCCGAAACTTATTTTGCTTAGCAAATAATCTTCACCTACTATTTTTGGGAAGATAAGCATAGATTTTTTTTTTCATGTAGCAGTACCTTAAAATGAAGTAGCTTCTCATGTTGCCATAAGTTTGTCACAAACTGATTTTATATTTAAAAGTAGTATTTTGTAACACAAACAGAAAACTTGAAAACGTCTGCTATGCAAAAGGGGCACTTAGGTAAATAATCACACACCACGTTTTTACAATAGATTTTTGTGGAAAAACAAGTGCTATTTTTTTCTGTAGCAGTTACTTAAATGTATCAAGTACTATTGTAAGTACTGTTATAATGTATAAGCACTTTAGAACACATTTAATTATAGTGATGACCTTATAAGGTAATTGCAACTATTATTCTCATTCTTCAGGTGAGGAAGCTGAATTTTGGCTAGGTTAAGAAACTTGCTCCAGGCCACACAGCTAATGAGTGTCTGTGCCAGGACCCAGCCTGAGCTGTCTGGCTTTGGACTCTGAGCTTCCACCCACCATTCGATTTGCTGCCTGATTAAACTAAGTGTTTAAAAACAATGTAAAAACATTGGCCAGCCCGTTTGAGGCTTCCAACAAAAGTACAGCTCACAATAAGTTTGTTCCCAAACTGACTTGTTTGTTTGTTTGTTTCCGAAGACCAAAAAGCCGCAAGCTGCTGTGCGCAATAATTCTTTGCGAGCAACAGCCGCTGGGCTCTGCCCAGCTCCCCGCAAGCACACCCAACGTGAAAATCGATTACCGTGACGGAGGAGAGTTATTTTGGGTGGCATGCCATTTGACTAGTGCTTTGGTGCCTAAAAGCGTCGTCAAATAGCCAAATATTGGCAGTGTTAACACTCCACTAAAACTTTCTCTGTGTCTCTGTGCTGACTTTTTCCGAAAGGCGTAAACTGTGAATTGGAGATTGGCGAATGTTGGTCCCAGCCCTGTTTAAACGGCGCCACGTGTCGGGACACTGTGGGGGCTTACGTCTGTGCCTGCGCCCCGGGATTCCTGGGGGCTCGCTGCGAGCTGGACGTGGGCCAGTGCGCCAGTCGGCCGTGTCTGCACGGAGGGCTATGTGTGGACGCAGGGAACAGGTGGGTTTCCTCCTACGTCCGACACCGAGAACTGACGCACCTCCCTGGTGAGTTCGGAGACCTCACATCCGCAGTTTAACATTTTCACATTACTTTACGCTTCAAATGATGGAAAGTTGTGACGTTCGGATCTTACTAAAAAAAAATCCATCTTCTGTCCCCAAAGGGACGGTTTTCTAAGCCATTCGTTTAGAGCTGCTTATAGTACAGAAAAGTACCAAGTCTTCGATTCCGCGAAATAAAAGTGCTACAGCCAAGGGAAGTACAAAAACAAAGCTGGAGATCATTCTCCAAGTGAATATAAGGTCGTTATCTTTACGATGACAAGGACATAAATCAAGTGGCAAAAATAAACCCTTTAGAAATTTTGTATAAAGTGTAGGAAAGGGCAAGACATACATAATAAATTATGTATGTCTTGAATTTCCAGGTGTTTGTGGAATTAATTGGGAGAATACTTTTGAGAAAGCATCATGGTGAGAGGTAGCCAAGTGATTCTGCTCCAGATCCAAGTCTATCATTGGCTTTCAGGCGAAAAATAACAACAATAAATTACACCTTAGTATGATGAATATAATAAATTTATGTAACGATAATTGAGTTCACATAAAATATTTTACAAAGAACTTTCTAGGATAACTACTGACTTACCAAATGCATAAAAATCTTTAACAGCATTGGCGCTTAAAATTGTCTTGTTTGATCCTTCAACAGCTCAGTGGAAGGCAAGATGAGCATTAATGTTTACATATTACAACGAAAAGTCTAAAGTTCAGCAAAGTTAGAAAACTCCCTCAAGTTCACACAGTTAATCATCTGCAAAAGGAGGACGAGAATCTGGTTTCCCTTTATGTAGTGAATAAGACAGAATTTATCCCAAATCTAATTTCAAAGCGAACTGGAGTCAAAAGGAGAGCAATAAAAGGCATGTGTGTTGCGAATACATCCAACGAGAAATTTAATAGTAGAATTTTCAGTAGGGCAATGGGGTTGTGCACTTCTTTTATAGAATGTAAAACATAACTTTTAGTCACATTCCATGTCCTGTCTCTGACTTTTTGCTGTACCCAAGTAAGGCTCTGGTGGCACAAACCCACAGCCCTGGAGACAGGTAACTGGACAACCCAAAGGTAGACCAGGATGGAGGGTTCTACACAAGATCCACCATGGAAAAGGAGGAGGCTCCCTCTCCACGCTTGGCTGTCTCCCAGAGAGCACCAGGACAGAAATGACACACAGCTTTTGATTCTTGTGGAATTGCAAACCAAACAAGGCTGAAACTTAGCCCACATTTACTCTCCCCCCTTGAGTTATGTCCTGAACACCATCTCTATTTTACCATTTGATCTCTGTTATCACCCAAATTTTTAGAAGATAATCACGAAGTCAACCGATATGCTCGGACTTTATTTTCTCACAAAAAACTTAACACATTTGCTAGAAGGTATATGAGGAAGCCAGAAAGAAGTTTCTTGCAGACCCAAAAAAATTGTGAAAATGGAGTTTCTAATTCTATATAAACGGAGGTTCCCTAGCCAGCCGGCCAAGGACCTTGAGTGTAGTAGGGTTCTGGTCTCTGATGTCGTACGTGTAGTAGATTTTTTTATTTATAATTAAACAAACATAACAGTGAATAGAAGATTTCTAACTAGCAGTACATATAAAAATTTGCAATCAGTTGTAACATTTGCTATTTCAGTTTCCTTAGTAAAGGCCTAGTGTCTTTGTTTGTGGTAAATATACACACAGCCTTGGTGAACAGGACTCTAAGTGCTTTACAAACTCATACGTACCCTCTTCCCCAAACCCTCATTTAATGTAAGCTGAGTGCTCAGGTGCATTTATTACAACACTAAATCCTCGAGGAGATCCCTCCTAATTTAAAACCCCCCTCTTAATAAAGTTACCAACTCTCTCATCATGTTTGTATTTTGGAGCCGTCAGATAATTCCACTTGATCGATGAAGGATTAGAAATAGCAAGACTAAAATATTCTTGTAATCTAAAAATAAGAGAACATCATAAGTCACGATTTATGCTAACTATCGGCTGGTTCTCTCTGCAGTTTCCAGAACCTCATTCATTGTTTCCGCGTTTCCTCTCAGGGCCCACGCGGCCCCTCTAAACGCGCTCTCGTAATAACAACGCAGACCATGAGGGTGTAAATGGCCAATCTCCCTCGCCAAAATATCAACAATGAGTCTGGATTAGTATACTGTAGTACGCGATTTATTAGTACCCGCAGATTCTGTGTTATTCTTATATATGCCTACTTAATTATCAATAATTAACCCTTGTGATTGTAGGTAGTATGTCTTCATTCATAGACGAGAAGAGCCTATAAAGCAGGCGGTTCCCTCACAACTACGGCCGAGGGCGCATGATGTGGGTGTTTTTTGCCCGTTGGTTTCATTCAAATGAAGATATGTGCAGCGTGCATAGAAATTTGTTCATAGTTTTTTTTTTTAAAAAAACTATAGTCTGGCCCTCCAATGGTCTGAGGGACAGCGAACTAGCCCCCTGTCTAAAAAGTTTGAGGACCCCTGGCCTAAAGTAAGTAATTGTGGTTTTCAAATACATCTGCATGAAGCTCTGTACTGTAAAATTTTTAGAAGGTGATGATGAGGCCTCAGTATGGAAACACGTCATGTGTTCAGTCCTACAGAGATGATTCCTCCGGGTTTTTGAGGTGTTACAATTGTACGGGGGGTCTCGGGGTGACGGACAGAGGAAGAGACGGTATAAAGACACCCGATCTCACGATGACCAGGGGCTGACGTGAAAATCTCGCTTGCTCTCCAGGTACAGCTGCGACTGCTCGGGCAGTGGGTACACGGGAACCCACTGTGAGACCCTGGCGCCTCCTTGCTGGTCAGAGCCCTGTCACAACAATGCCACATGTGAGGACAGTGGTGACAACTACACTTGTCACTGCTTGCCTGGTAAGTAAGAAAATATCTTCCTGCAATTTGGTTTTTTTTGCTGAGACTAGAAACGTTCTGCTTATATATAGCAGCTAAAACTAGAACTTCTTGTTCCGTGTTTGAAACCAATTCCTTCTTCCAACGATCGTCGTTTAATTTAGTGCGTTCTTCCGTGCCCCCACACGGGCTTACTTCTATGCCGCGTATTATCCAAAGTAGAGGACCTGGCTAGCGCCTAATGATCGAAACCCTCTGGAGGAGACAGAGAGGAAGGAAAAAAAAATCAATGGAAAGATGAAATTCAGCGTGGTCTTCATGAAGGGACATTCGCTGGAAGATGCTTTCTTGTCCTCCACGATGTTCTCGTAGATACCAGGAAAGTACAGAAACGCACGAAACGATGCTAAACTGCTCGCAATTTCTCTTACGATTCAGTCAGTCGTCCTCCACGCTTTGCTGTCTGCAGGAAGCGTCAGGACCGAAATGACATGAATGTGGTAACGGGGTGTCTGTGGAGAGGGTAGGGTGATATCCCAGAAGTAGGAATATTCTAGGTGTTTGCAATGTAAATGAAGTTAAGCCAAAAAAAAAAAAAAAACCCACCCAGTGTATGTTCCACCCATTCGTGATTCAGTCCTTCAAGCCACGTGGATTTCAGCACCAACTGTATGCATTAGGAGTCTGGGAATCAAAAAGGGACAGTCCCTTTGTCCAGGAGCTTAAATTCTAGCAGGGAGACGTGTCGAAAGGTATCAATACACAGCACCATTTTTTTGGTGCAATAAGAAGCTATAATAGGCTGGGGGAGGTGGCTCACGCCTGTGATCCTAGCACTCTGGGAGGCCGAGGTGGGTGGATTGCTCGAGGTCGGAGTTCGAAACCAGCCTGAGCAAGAGCGAGACCCCGTCTCTACTATAAATACAAAGAAATTAATTGGCCAACTAATATATGTAGAAAAAATTAGCCGGGCATGGTGGCGCATGCCTGTAGTCCCAGCTACTGGGGAGGCTGAGCAGGAGGATCACTTGAGCCCAGGAGTTTGAGTTGCTGAGCTAGGCTGACGACGCGCACCTCACTCTAGCCTACGCAACAGAGTGAGACTCTGTCACCAAAAAATAAATAAAAATAAAAAAGAAGCTATAATAAAATTCTGTAAAAGGGAATAAGAGAGAGAAGGGCATAGAGGGCTTGATCACATTTCAGAAAACCCGGACGATGGTAGAGCGTGTTCCAAAAACCCACTCACTGCTGTGTGGTTTCGAAAAGTGACTTTACTGCCCTGAGCCTCAGTCTCCTTTTCCTCATTTATGATATCTGCCTTATAGAGTTGTTTTGGAGATAGATCTAGTAACGCACCTAAAGGCCCTAGCTCAGCCTGGAGCATAGTAAGCACTCAGTACGTGTGAAGTGGAGATTGAAATTCGGAGGCCGACCGTCCTGGGCCCTGCAGGTGGCATGAGGTCACCCATGCTTACTGAGGCAGGGGGGGGGGATGGGGCAGCAGGCACACGTAGAAAAGGTCATGTCCAGCTATGGGACTCTGAGTGACTGTCCCAAAATGCCGGACTCTGTCGGGCTGAGGGTGGAGAGATGGGGCTGGGCAGCAAGGCTGAAGCCAGACCACAGACAGACGCGTCTGCCCTGCAAACTGCGGGAAGAGAAGTGACAGAATCTGACTTGATTTAAGAAGATCTCCCTGGGCCCGGCATGGTGGCTCACGCCTGTCATCCTAGCACTCTGGGAGGCCGAGGAGGGAGGATCGCTCAAGCTCAGGAGTTCGAGACCAGCTTGAACAAGAGCGAGACCTGTCTTACTGACACTAGAAAGAAATTAGCTGGATATTTAAAAATATATAGAAAAAACTAGCTGGGCATGGTGCGCATGCCTGTAGTCCCAGCTATTGGAGGCTGAGGAAGGATTTGAGGTTGCTGTGAGCAAGGCTGACGCACAGCACTCACTCTAGCCAGGCAACGAGTGAGACTCTGTCTCAAAAAAAAAAGATCTCTCTGGCTTAGTAGAAGATGATTAAGGGGAATCAAACCAAAGGCAGGGGATCCAGGGAGAGGATTCTGCAGTCGTGTCAGCAAGAGATGAGCCCGTTTGTCGGAACCAAGACGAGAGTGGTCGGGGTGTGGAGGAGGAGGTGGGTGATGGTGAGAGTCAGGTGGGAGGTGTGGAAATGAGGTGGAGGAGGAAAGGGGCACAGATTTAGGACAGTTCTGCCTCTGGGTCTCTGTCTTGGTCGCTGAATGGATGGTGGTTTTGCCTAGAAAGAAAATTCAAGATATTTTCATACCCATTCTCACCGTTGTGTATAAAGGTGATTTAACGCTGCAAACTACGCTATACCGAAGAAAAGGAGAGCATTCTTTTGGGTCATGAAACCACAGCCACAGAACACAATGGGGCAAGAATCCACCACTACAGCTGCCCAGGGTCCTCATGTCAAAAGTAATCAATTAATTGCAAGAAGTGTCAGTTACCTTAAAAGTTTTCCTGATGCCCAGATATGATGGGATTTGCTAAAAACAAACGAACATCCTATAAGAAACCCGGGGACTTGGTTCAGTTACACATTGTTTCTTTGCACAGAGTTTTATAGAAAAACTTGTTAAAGCTATCTTGTATGTAGCCTGGACTGAAGGAATCTATTTACATGCATGGTTAATAACAGAGAACAGCAAATAAAACCCCCTCAGGGCCTTGGGGTGGGGGGCGGGTGGAGACAGGACTGGCAAGACTATAAATCAGAACCTTCCCGATGTCCATGACTGGAATGAGAGAATGCGAGAGCCGGAAAAGCAAAGCAGGATTTATGATGCTTCTAAATCACTTCTGAACCTGGCTTATGTCTGAGCCTTGGGTCTTAGAGCGGGAAGAAAATTGAAAATAGTCCAAGCTTTCTTCAGGAAGTCTGCTGTCTCACAACAAATAACAATTTATAAAATCTTGTTGTGAATACTGCTAATGTATCCATATACCCTTAAGTATGAAGTAATAGTACTTAAGAATTAGACGTTCAAGTTTAGGAGGCTACAGGGTTCTTTCTTTGCAGGGGTCGACTACAAAGGATTGTGGGATCCCCAATCCAGAATGTTCTTTTAGTTTCTTTTCTTCTTCTTCTTCTTCTTCTTTTTTTCTTTTCGAGTATAAGTTTCTTCTTCAGGTGGCTGAGAAAGGCCCAAGGGTCATAGGTCATACGTAACAAATACATCATACTATTGAGCAACAGAACTTACGCCGCGGTTATGATTTGACACATGAACTCATTTGGGTTTTATTAAAATCACAAAATGAGCAACCACATTATACTCTCATCATTGGCTTATTAAAAGTCAATTTTCTGGTGTATGGGCTAAATGAGGATTATAATCTGAATTGTTAGGTTCAACCGCTGGGGGATACTATTGATTGAAGGCTGACTGCTTACCTACCGCTCAGCCCTGGAGCAGAGAATAAAACAAACTCGGTCCCTGTTTTCGTGGAGTTTGCCATCTGCGGAGGGAGGCAGCTATACACACAATAAATGCACGATAAAAAGTTATCCTAAGAGCAATGAAAGAAAATACTTGGGTGGCAGGAGAGAAAAAAAGGGGATCTCATTTCGATCTGTCATAAGGGAAAGTAACACAAGGTAGAGTCTGAAACTGAGTCAGTTAGCAAAGCAAATGCTTGGAGAAGAGTTTTCTAGAAGAGAGAATAGCATTATGAGGAGTTAGAGAGAGAATGGGGTATGGTAGGAATATTGAGATAGATCATGCATGGAGTTTGGATTTTATCCTATGGGAAACGGGAAGCCATTGAATGATTTTATTTATTTATGAATGAATGAATGAATGAGACAGGGTCTCACTCTGTTACCCAGGCTACAGTACAGTGGCATCATGGTAACTCACAGCAACCTCAAGCTCCTGGGCTCAAGCAACTCCTGCCTCAGCCTCCTGAGCGCTGGGACTACAGCACATGCCACCTGCCTGGCTAATTTAAAAAAAAATTTTTTTTTCTTTTTGTAAAAAACGAGATCTCACTATGTTGTCCAGGCTGGTCTCGAACTCCTGGCCTAAAGTCAATCTCCTGCCTTGGCCTCCAAAGTGTTGTGTTCCTTTAGAAAGGAGCATGCATCTCTCTTGCATCTCACAAATAGCTGACGTTATCCTATTATCCATCAGATTATGTCATGTCTACTAAATTACATTTTGGGGCTAGCACTCTATACAACAGACAATACTCTTATAAATCAATAAGAAAAAGTCTCATGATAAGACAGGAAGAGTATGCAATGGCCAAAAACATCCCAAAATGTTAAGCTCAATAGTAACTCAGGGAAATGTAAACCAAAACGGAAGTGCAACCAACTGGTGAGAAATTTTATATTTGATGACAGCAAATACTTGGCAAGGGCTTGGGGCAACATTCACACTCATCCACTCTTGGTACTATGCGAATGGTACAGGTACCTTAGAGGTGTTTGCCAGTCTATTAAAATAAAAATGTATTAACCTATAACCAGAAATTCTACTTCTGGGCACAAACCCTGACGGTTATACTCAACCACTTACATATGTAGTCATTTATAATGATATTCATTGCAACATTGTAATAGCAAAAATACATGTAAATCCAAATAAGAGAATGGTTAAACTATGGAACATCCACATTCCGGAATATTGGGATAGTTAAAACTATGACTTATTAAGGCTACCCATACAGATGAAAAAAAAAAAAAAAAAAAGAAAAAAAAAAAACTATGACTTAGATCTCTGTTACTAACTGGATAGATAGGGCAAGGAAGTGAATGGAGCAAGTTGTTGAAGGATGCATATAGTAACATTCCAGTTATGTTACACACACGTACAATAAAACTATACTTTTTATAGTTGCACATGTGTATAAAACAAAAGGAACCAGTTGACTAGGCAACTTTCATTTATATTTAATTTTAATTTTTATAAAGTGATAAATTATATTTTACTGTTTTCATTCCTGGCCTTATAAATAAAACGATCCGGCTAAGTCCATGCAGATATGAAATAATCTACTATTATGTTTCCTCAAGTGTTAGGAAATAACCATTTACCTTTACTCTGAGTTTTTGTTTTTTGTTTTTTTTTTTGAGACAGAGTCTCACTTTGTTGCCAGCTAGAGTGAGTGCCGTGGCGTCAGCTAGCTCACAGCAACCTCAAACTCCTGGGCTCAAGCAATCCTTCTGCCTCAGCCTCCCCGAGTAACTGGACTACAGGCATTCGCCACCATGCCCAGCTAATTTTTCTATACATATTAGTTGGCCAATTAATTTCTTTCTATTTATAGTAGAGACGGGGTTTGCTCTTGCTCAGGTTGGTTTCCAATCCTGAGTCAAACGATCTCGCCACCTTGGCCTCCCAGAGAGCTAGGACTACAGGTGTGAGCCACCGCACCCGGCCTACTCTGAGTTTTGAAAGAAGAATTTAGGCTTGGCTATGAGGATACTTGCTGATTTTTCAGCTCTTCTCTTGGAAAATATTTCCATTTTTTTCTCAATAAAAATTCACAGGTGTGGAATATTTGCAAAATGGGCGTCTTGCATTAGATTGAATCCAGGTTATCCTGACATCCATTTTTTTTTTTTTGAGACAGAGTCTCACTGTGTTGCCCAGGCTAGAGTGAGTGCTGACATCAGCTAGCTCACAGCAACCTCAAACTCCTGGCTCAAGCGACCTCCTGCCTCAGCCTCCCGAGTAGCTGGGACTACAGGCATGGCCACCATCCGGCTTGTTTTTTTCTATATATTTTTAGTTGGCCAATTAATTTCTTTCTATTTTTTAGTAGAGACGGGGGTCTCTCGCTCTTGCTCAGGCTTGTTTGGAACTCCTGACCTCAAGCGATCCTCCCGCCTTGGCCTCCCAGAGTGCTAGGATTACAGGCGTGAGCCACCGCGCCCGGCCCTGCCATCCCGTTTTAATTCAACCCTCTTGAGTCAAATCCTTCTAAAAATTTTTTGGTCAAGATTATGCAAGTGATGTCATGACTCCTGCTATTCACGTCCAGGTAAGTCTCCTCCTCCCAGATTGCCCCTGCTGGTTCCTTGGGAGCCGCACAAGGACGCCAGCGCGGCCGCCTGTCCTCTGCCTGCCAGGCACAGGCTCTCCAGGTGCAGCAGGTTTGACTCAGCGTCTCCGGACGTTCCTCCTGCAGGGTACGCCGGCGCCCAGTGTGAGAGCCACGTGCACCAGTGCGCGAGCAGCCCCTGCCAGGCCGGGGGGCAGTGCGTGGAGCTGGAGCCGTTTGGGCGCCTTGCGGGGCTGCCTCCCTCATTCCGCCACCCCGGAGCCCCGGGCTACGTCTGCACCTGCCCACCTGGATTCACAGGTAAGGCCGGGAAGGCGGGAAATGACTGGGCTTTCTGGCATGTGGTGGCAGACCACGCACCTGACCACCAGCAGGTGCACAGGCAGCCAGACCTGTGCGGAGAGAACTCCCTTGCGATGGTGCAGAGGGTCCCCCTGGTGGGCGTGAAAAATACCTCGTTCCGCACACAACATCCCTCAGTTCTCGAGGGTGATGTAAATTTCTTATGTGCCATTAACAAATAAAAAGCTGTTTTAATATTAATCTGCTGTCCTTTTTAAACCCTTCAAGAACAGATTTTGAGCAGAAAAGTATTGTTTCTATTTTGTTTTTGATAAAAAATAATTTGCCTTGTTAAAAAAAATAGGGATGCAATAGGGATGTAAGGGGAAGTATTTTTATACGTTATGCTGGGACTTAGAGTGCCTCTCGAACCTTATAAACAGAAAATGTTGTGATTTTTACGTGGTTAAAATTGATCATGATGTTGAATTTTATAATATTCAAATTTTCTTTAAAAATGTTATTCTATGTATTTACATTTACACTGGCAACGAGTTTTAAGTGATCTTCCTCAAGGGTTCTATAGCTAACGTCGTTCCATATATCAAAGTTAAATTACTCTATCTTTTTTTAAACAACTTTCTTACTCCTAAAACCCAAAGGACACTTGCACGTATGTTTTCCAATGAACAGTCGTGTTTGCGTCTGCTTCGTGTTTGCGTCTGCTTCGTGTTTGCGTCTGCTTCGTGTTCTGAAGGCTCTCAGGGTTTGTGAGGCAGTGCCCTGTTCATTGTGACGTCTTTCCATGGAACTATTTGACATCTGTGTTTTTTTTCCTTCAGCAAAATGTTTCTCCATGTCTTTTTAAATATTTTTTTTTATTTTTAATTATTATGGATACACAATTGTTGGGCATATTTATGGGGTATATGAGGTATTTTATACCGGCATCAAATCAGGGTAATTGGATTGTCCATCACGTCAAGCATTTATCATTTCTTTGTGTCAGGGCCATTCCAATTCCATTCTTTCAGATATTTTAAAATACACGATTTTAAAATCATTGTTAACTATAGTCACCCTATTGCAGGCGTCCTCAAACTACGGCCCGAGGGCCACATGCCGTCCGTCCGCCGAGGACATTTATCAAGCCCTCCGGGTGTTTTTGCTGCCACTGCCTGTCCTGCTTAGCAGCCGACCCGTCCCGGGCCCACGGTGCGCACTCTCCAACGGTCTGAGGGACAGTGACCTGGCCCCGTTTAAAAAGTTTGAGGGCCCCTGCCCTAGTGTATGAATGCTACCAACTGCTAGATCTTATTCGTCCAGTCTAGCTGCAATTCTGCACCCGCTAACCTAGTTACCCCCTCCCCACTCCCCTTCCAGGCTCTGGTCACCATGATCCTGGTCCCTGTCTCCCTGCAGTACCTATCTTTTTGTGCCTGGCTTATTCCTCATGACATAACGTCCTCCAGTCCCATCCATGCCGCTGTGAACGACAGCATTCCATTCTTCTTTATAGCTGGACAATATTCCACCGTGTACATATACTGCATTTCCTTTGTCCGTTAATCCACCGACAGACACTCGGGCAGATTCGATGTCCTGACTGCCGTGCACGGTGCTGCAGGGAGCAGGAGTGAGACGTCTGCACGGTGTACTGACATCCTTTCTTCCGGACACAGACCCTGCGGTGGGATCGCCGGATCGTGTGGTAGCTCTGTGCTTAGTTTTGTGGGGAGCTTGCGTGTTGCTCTCCACAGCAGCTGCACTAATTATGCACCATTTCTCCCTGGCTGCTTTCAGTGGTTTTTTTTTTCTCTGTAGTTTTCAGAAGCTCGTTTGTAATGAGCCTCGATGTCCGCTCATTTGGGTTTATCCTACTTGAGATTTACTCAGCTTTTCATATCTGTGGATGGATGTCTTTGACCAAATTTGGGGAATTTTGAACCAGTTTTTCTTCATATAGTCTTTCAGTTCCATTCTGTCTTTTCTCACTTCTGGGACTCGGAGCATACGAACTTTGGGTCTTTTGCTCTTTTTTCATGGGCCCCTGAGGCTTTTTTGTTTGTTTTGATTTTCTTTTTCCTGTTTTCTCTCTGTTCCTCAAATTGGGCAAATTGTATTGATCTGTCCTCACCAGCTCTATCCGCTTTCATCTCCTCTCTGTTATCGAACCGGACAGGGAGTTTATTTTTCCTATTGTCTATTTTTCAGTTCTAGAATTTCCATTTTCTTCTTTTAAATGACAATCTTTTTGCCGACATTTTCTGTCTTTCTCTAATCTCAAGAGAATTTGTAATTTGCTTATTGAATCGCTTTTATGATGGCAACTTTAAAATTCTCGCCAGATAATTCCAACATCTGATTCTTCTAAGGATGGGCGCCAGGTACTTCCGTTTTCTCATTCAGGCTGTGGTTTTCCTGGTTCTTTTGCTGACGGGCGATCGCACGCTGAACGTTTTGGATACCATGTTAGGAGACCTCAAGCATTGTTTTGAATTTTTGAATTTATCATTCGATCACCTTCTTAGGTTCGGAAAACAGGTCCTGGCCTACGTCACGTGGATTGTGGGTGCAGCAACGCTCTGTTGATTTTGAGAGTCTTCGCAGTGTTATTTTGGCAATCTTCGTTTATCTCGTACCCCTGGGGCTCCCTCGGGTGTCTGCTGACGATTCCCGGGTGGGTGGAAGGTGTTTCCTCAGGCCGGGCCTGCCCCGGGAGGGGAGTCCCAGACCCCTGGGGGCGAGGAGGCTCCTTTCGGGGTGTCCTGCGGTGGCTGCTCCCTGCCGCTGGGGGTGCAGAGTGTGGCTCAGGCTGACGGGTGCGGGGCCCCTCTGCCGATCCTCCAGCCACAGGGTCTCTCCTGACGGAAGCGCACAGTCTGCTAAGGAAGGGATACACGTCACACACCAGCCCACTGTCGTGACATGACTCCCTGTGCCGCGGCCACCTTGGCACGTGTCTCTAGGTGAGCCCGGTGGTGGGGAAGGCCCCGCAGCAGAGCAGGACAGCTCGCTCTCTCTCTCTCTCTCTCTCTTTCTCTTGCTGCTTTTCATCAGCAGGGCTGGCTAGTCCCCCTCGCCGCGGTTCTTCTGGGCACACCTGATGTCCTGGGGGAGGGGGCTCCCATGCAATCCGCAGAAAGAACGAGCCCACCTGGGCTGCTGCTTCTGTTACTACTGACCGGGGCCCAGGAAACAGCGAGACTGGGGACATTCCGCTGATGTGCTAGGAGTCGTAAGAAGCCCTGACGCTTTGTCATTCCCTCAGTCCAAGGCCTCGCCTGGTTCACCACCTTCTTCCACCGTTCACAGTTCTCTCTCTGGTTGTTGCGCCTAGTTGGCGGTTGTGCTCGGTGTGGAGGGGCAGGGAGAGAGAAGTCTGCACCACCTGTGCTCACTGGAAGTCCCTATGCCACATTTTTAAAAAACACTTAAATGAGCCGGGCGAGGTGGCTCGCGCCTGTAATCCCAGCACTCTGGGAGGTTGAGGCCGGAGGATCAGTTGAGGTCTGGAGTTCGAGACCAGCCTCACGTGTTGTCGTAGCTATTTGTGCCCATAGTTGCGACCCTCACGTTACAATGAGAACAGAGCACTCGAGTGATCTAAATTAAAGGTCCCCACCTTTGCTTAAACCACACACCCACTTCATTTCCATGGGAGGCTAACTACAGCCAAGCTGGAGAAGGCCTTTTGTGGACTAACACTGTTCGGTTCATTCCAACATCAGTAAATTATCTTCGTTTCGTGTGGCCACCCTTGACCGCTGCCAGAGGAATGTTGGCTGCTTCCTCCTGTTGTGCTTTGGTTTCTAGTTCAGCGCGCCGGGCTCGGGTCTAGGGACATAGCGGTGAAGATACACGGTGTCTTCCCAAGGGAAACTGAAAGGGAGGGAGAAAAAAGACGCACAAAAGTGTAGGACGATATGATAACTGGCATGGAGTGGAGACACAAAAAGGCATAATCATACGCATAACTCAAGAGCTAGCTATGCTGTTTACGCAGATAGAATGTGGTGGAAGTGATAAGCCGCAAAACAACTTGCTATGTTAGCATTTTTTAATACAAGCGAACATGTCACTACCGAAAATTAAAAAAAAAAAAAAAAGATCTCATGGCCTTTGTGCTCACCCTCGGACCATCCTGTTCTAACCCACCAAGATGCACGGAAAGCCATCGTGAAACTCGTGTTTTTCATGTGGACATTTCATCTCTGCTCATCAAAATACGGCCATGGCGATACCTTGAACAAGTTCCCAAACTGTCCCGTAAGCCAAGTCCAGTTTTCAGTTCCGACTTTCGCCCACCGACTCCAATTAGCACCGACGCCAAGCCTCTGGTCTGGACCGCGGCGTTGTTGCCTAGTTTGGGATTTGTCCGCTCCCCCGTCTGCTCTGCGCGCGGAAGGAGCTGAGGGGCGTGGCAGGGGGCGCGTGAAGCCCTGGCTTCAGACTTGGGCAGAAATCGCGGTCTCCCAGCAGTAAACACCCCGATGAGAGCCACCTGGCAGTGACGATCGCGAGGCTCTGGCTCTCAGGTTCGTCCGATTCGAGCACAATATTGCCGAAAATGAAGTGCTCACTTTTCCTTAAGAATTAAACCCCGTCGCTTGACTTAAATCCAACTAAAATAGCCACGTAAGGCCAAGCACGTATCACTCAAAGCTTCAGGAAGGAGTGGGGCGTGTGGGACCGTCAGTATATCCTGCCTAAAGAGAAACTTTCGGTAGGATGTCCTCACCTGCTACCTTCACGTTTTAGGCTCCTTGTTCTTACAGATGCATTTTTTTTCTTACTTACAGTTTCAAGTTTGAGACCATAAACCTTAAATGGCTCTGGTATTTGATATGCCTATAAAAACTGTAACTCTGAAAGATAAACTGTGCTTCAATCCTTATTTACTAAATGTTTATTTTTTCAATAGATTCATCTAATTCATTTACCTTTGCCTTTGCTAGGCATGTCAACGTCTACAACCAAAACTATTCGTAGAGCGTATAACTCTTGCTGCTTGTGTT